GCATGGAGGAAGAGCTGGGGCTCCACCTTGATCCCGGCTGGGAAGTTTTCCAAAGTGATATTTGGCCAAACTAATGAGCTCCTGGTGGCAAACTCCTGATCAGGAGGGAGACAGACATCAGGGTTTATTATTGATCCAATATCGGTGGAGAATAATGATATCTGTACATGTCAGCGTGATTTTGATCCTGTATGAATAAGTAACATGAGAAATCAGACCTCCAGCAGCAGCCAGCACTATCCTAGGTCCTTTGTAGTGGGTGGTGATGTACTCCACCAGGTCTCCTCTGTTGATCGTCCTGGAAAACAAACCAATCGAAGGTTAAACACAGACCGAGGCGGCTTCCTGTCCTGATCTGGTCTGGTCTTACTTGATGTTCTCAGTTGGACCCAGGATGGTCCTGCCCAGCGCTGTGGACTGGTACGCCGTGGCATGCAGGTAATCAAACACCACTTCCTGCAGGTTGGTCTCCACTTCCTGCATCTCCCTCAGGATCACACCACGCTCCCTCTCGATCTCTGCTTCACCGAGCGTGCTGTTCTGGATGATGTCAGCCAGGATCTCAACAGCTAGATTACAAAAAAAAAAAAAAAAGAAATTTTATAAGGAAAACAAATTCTACACACATCAATCAAACCAGCTTCTACTGCTCTGCACCTCGTGGAAGATCCTTGGAGAAAGCTTTGGCGTAGTACACCGTCTGCTCCCGGGATGTGTAGGCATTCAGATGGGCACCCATGTTCTCGATCTCCAGCTCCAGGTCCAGTTGAGAACGTTTTCTTGTACCCTGTGAGACGGTTCTGCTTATTAATCAGCTCACCTCTTTTCCAGGAAGCAAAGGATGACTAAATTTACCCTCCCACCTTAAATGCCATGTGTTCCAGAAAGTGTGCCGTGCCGTTATTCCTCTCATTCTCATAGCGACTACCAGCATCTATCCATAAGCCCACCTAGATGAAGACATCCATAAATGTCCTTCACACATTGTAACATCGAGTTAAACAGATTCTAGCAAAACTTGTTAAGTTAGAAAGTTTGAATTTAAGTGGGGAACCTTTAACTTACAGTGCAGGTTGTGAGACCAGAATCCTCTGAAGCCACCCGGAGACCATTCTCTAATGTGGTCACTTTAGTTTCAGGGACATTTAGTGCCACCTGCTGAGCAGCGGGGGTAGCCAACAGTCGCCGCGGTCCAACGGGAAGCTGCAGAGGACAAAAGTGAGAGGTCGACTTAAGCATTAAATATACAATTTGTCTACAGAGATTGCTTTTACACACAACCATGAACTTTATATAGATAATTACATTTATTTATTTTTTTGCTAGCTGTAGGAAATAATTTGATACTCATTCCTGCATTTTTTTTTATAAATGTCTAAATGATTATTTATAAGGGGAATATAACTTAAACACTTATCTTCTTATTTTTTGGAGGTCATTTATTTTATTCACTACTTTTGATGTTAAACAACTTCCCTTCATCTTTAGATCTAACGAGATTTCATTTCCCTGTTTATGAAAAGTATCCCCACAGCATAATGTTGCCACCTCTGTGCTTTACCGTAGGGATGATGCAAAGTGTTTGTTTTTTTGTCACAGAGAGCAGATTCAGCATGTAAGCCAAAAATGTTGGCCTGATTCAACAATAAACAGGTTCAAACTATTTAAAGAGGTACTATTATATATATTATATTATATGTAATATGCAATTACAACAATGTCATCAATATATGTATATTACAAGTAGGCTACATCAGTTTGGCACATCTGTATTATTGTGCTCCATGAACACATTCGTTTAGTTGTGATGGATTTGTATAACATAATGTTATATTACATGATTTATAGACTTCATAATGACCATGCAATATGATGTACCTTTTTTTCATTATCATAAATTACATTAATCTACCATTGCCATTGTGACGGGTTTAAATAGGGAGTACCAATATGGCGGCCGGTGGCCATCAGTAAACCAGTGAATAAATAGAGATCAGTGATTAGTGCTTGGTGCCCCGTGATTTCTGACTATGGCCTCCAAATAGCTAAGCCCCGCCCCTCTAAAAGTCAAGTTATGATGACTGATGCTGAATATAAACAACTAACTTCTACTATTAATAATCGCTAAATTGTAATGGTCCACTACCCACTACTTTTACCAAAGAGAGGAGTTATGATATACAGATAGATATATAACAGAGAGGAGCGCGTCGTTTCCTAATTAATAAACATGGATCCTGTCAAGCCTCGCAGGGAGGTTTTCCTCGGTCATTATTCGCATCACTGATTAAGAAAAAAAGGATCAAAGCTGCGACTTTGGGGGAAAAAGGATATTAAAAGATTCCCCTTACCCCGTTTAGATAGCCTGGCTTCACTAAATGTCTTTGGAGAAGACATCTCCCAGCTGACGTGAGGCGCTGTATGGACGCCGCCATATTGTTTATTTGCAACACTGCGCATGCGCGGAGTCTACGCAACTTCCTTCTTCTTCTTGGATTTATTGGCGGTTGGCAACAAACATTTAGTAGCATTACCGCCACTTACTGGTATGGAGTGTGGTTCGTGATTGACTATCTACTGATAAACATATATATCATTTCTAATGGAAAAAAAGAACAAAAATGATATACTTTTACATAAATTTGTATTCTACCCGTCTATATCATACACACATTAAAAATCTAATAATTATTTGTATATGTTTACTTCCCAAATTCTTCCTCAAAATATCTAATAAATGAAACTTTTCCTTAATACATTCAAACTCTCTGCTCATATATCTTCTCTCGCTTTCATACTTATGACCTTCCAGTATAACAAGTTCTATTGTTTCATATTTTTCACATTAATCACATTTGCCAGTAGTATGCTTTCGCATTTTGAAAAATGTATAATTAGGTCCTGTATGCCCAAATCTTAACAGTGTTATCACTCTCTCCTTGTTTCTATTTCGTCTTCCATTTCTTCTTTTTCCTACTATCTTCTGAATTTTATAAAACCACCTTCCTGTTTTTTCTTTATCCCACCTTTTTTGCCATTTATCCATATTTTTTTAAATTAATACTCTTTCCCTCTGATTTATTTGTTTTAACTTTAAAACTTTAGGATTATGAATTGCCCTCTTTGTCATTTTATCTGCCCTCTCGTTTCCTTCTACTGCAATATGGATCCCAACCAAATACAACAATCAAACCCATATTTTTTATTCTGAATAATGTATGAAATATTTCTAATAGAACGACCACCCTACTATCTGACTGATTATATTTTAAACTTAATAATCCAGAACTTGAATTTGAACAATTTACTGTTTTACACAACATCCGTCTGGGTTTACATAATAAAAGCCAAGAGAAAATTAGATGAAAAGTGGGAATTCTGTTAATATGCCTGAACCATAAAGCTGACTGTAATTTCTAAATAATTGTTCAACTAAATTGTTAAGGCAAAATAAATTGGTTCACGTGACAAATCAGTTAGGGTATCTCTCAGAGCATATCTTCATATAGGAAGTGATTTAGTACTACAAAACAACAGAAATTATTTTTTTTTTTACTTTTAATAAGAATAATAAAAATAATAATAATAATTTATTGATCTCACATTGGAGAAATTTACCTCTTTTATTTAACCCATCCCCTTGGGGAGAAGTGGTCTGCCATTGTGGGACGCCCGGGGTGAAGTGTGGGGTTAAGGATTTTGCTCAGAGACCCAGAGTGACAGTCTGTGGGAGTGGGGCTTAAACTAAGAACCTCTGGATTCCAAGCTCTATGCCCTAACCAATAGGCCACCAAACCCCATTTAACAAAACTTTATTTACAAATTTACAAATCAAACAATATAAACAACTCTTTATGCAAAATAAATGTCAGTCAATGTTTGTTACTCCATCATTTGACACAGTGCATGCAATTTTACAAAATTTATCTTAAAAGTATCAGCACTTAATTTCAGCGATAAATAATGATGCCAAAACAAAAAAGCCAAATGAATCAAAAGGAAGGAGTTTTTTTCATCATAGAATTGTAAATATTCTGTCTACAAATTGTCTCACTACATTTATAAAAAAACAAAAAAAAACAAACAAAAAAAAATTACTTATATTCCATCTTTGCAGTGTATGTTTTTCAGTGGAAGGCCCCTTACAAGGACCGGGACCAGTTCTACACAGGCAATGGCCCTCCTCGGCCCCTTTTTATAACTATCCAAGAAACTAGATTTAAAATATCAAGAAACAGTGCCTGTCAGAAGGAGAAAAAAAATAAACAATAAACATTGGAACACCATACTACATATTACCCTGGTTATATTTTGGAGTTTAATTTTGAAATAAAAAATATTTTAAATGTTTTTTTTTCTGTCTAGAATTTTGTAGTGTTGGACAGATTGTTCTTAGTTTGCTTGTTTGTGTTTTAGTGACTGGAAAATCGGATAGTATAAAAATAACTTCATTTAAAAAAAAATTTATTTTTGGATAAATTTTACTCTGCTGATGAGTATCTGAACCAAATTATAATTTCATTTTATCTATTTATTTATTAATTTTTTGTTTTGTGGGAGAATTTATATATAGAATTTATATATAGCTATACACTCCATTCCAATAGATGGCGGTGATGCACATCAATTGTTGCTTGCTAATCGCCATTAAAACAAAAGAAGAAGAAGAAATATCTGAACCTTAAAGCAAATAAATTGTCTGATTTAATGGAAGAATTTTAGTTAGTCGCCTCTTCTTAATAATTTAATTATTAGTTGTTGTTTTTTCCCTTGTTCTAACCTCAAATTTCTATTGAAGTTAAAAGGAGTTGTGATCTTATTTTTTTTCCCTGTAATGTTCATTATTGACGTATTGTTTGAGATTGTCATTGATATTCTTTATTTTCAATAATATATATATATATATATATATATATATATATATATATATATATATATATATATATATATATATATATATATATATGAATTTTATTTTGAAATGGTAAGAGCCCGGAAGCGGAAGTGCAGTGTTAGCATAGCGCCAATCTCGTTGTAAACCAAGGCGGAACCGACCGTGTGCATTCATAGTTGTTTGGAAAACCAAAAAGTCCTCTTTCATGCTGGAAACAGCTAGCTACAGCCACATATTTCAAGGCATCTGTGCATCACATTAGGTATGTTAATAGTGAGATTAGCCTCAATTTTAGCAGTTTTTTAAAGCAGCTAACGGTTTTGTTGCTAGGTTGAACCGCTGCCAGGCGGTCTGAACTTTCGTATGTCTTTGCACCTAGCTTCCAGGAAAACATGGCGGAGCTGATGGACGGTGACCTGGAAGATGGAGAAATTTCAGGCTCCGGCTCGGACGATGAGATGGGTGGAGCTGTGGCCGAACAAACCCGAGCTCACGACTCTGTGGCGTTCAGCGGGGAGTCCTTCCAGCGCAGCCCCGCTTCGGTCCAGCCTCCTTCCGCCGCTGCCTATCGGAGCTCCGCCAAGGCGGTGGAGTCCAGTGACAGTGATGCGGACTCGTCCGACGAGGAGGCCGCTGTCTGGCGTCGAAAGCGGCTAAAAGTTTCAAATGCCCCACAACCGCCCGCCGGTCCCCCGCCAGTATCCGCCTGCGGAGTACCGGAAAGCCGCAAGGTGAACAATATTTGGGGCTCCGTGGTGCAAGAACAGTGTCAAGATGCCATAACAGCAGAGCTGGGTGTGTTTGGCATGGAGGGCGTCAGCATGGCCAGCAGAAGTGTTGAAACCTACAATTTTGTTCTGGCTCGGAAGATGATTGAGAAGGAGAGAGAGATGGAGAGGCAGTCCAAGGAGGAAGGAGAGGTGAGCATGCTGGATGCTGAGCTGGAGGATTACATGAAAGGGCGAGGATCAGAGGACAGAGCAGGAGGGGATGCTAAGAGAAAACGACCTGCCAAGGAGAGATTAGGCACTAAAGCTGAGATGGACATAAAAGGCCGGTATGAGATCACAGAGGATGATCCAGATGATAAGGTGATAGATGAAATCGCATACAGACTACAGGAGCCCAAAAAGGAGCTGATTGAGCGTGTGGTTCGGGTTCTTGGGAAGAAGAAAGCTATCGAACTACTGGGGGAGACTGCCACACTGGAGGAAAACGGTGGCATGTACACTATGGATGGAAGCAGGCGGAGGACGCCTGGTGGAGTCTTCCTCAACCTGCTGAAGAACACCCCCAGCATCAGCAAGTCCCAGATTAAGAAGATCTTCCTGGAGGAACAGCAGAAAGATTACAAGAGCAAGAGGGCAGCGCAGAAAAGAAGGCGGCACGTGCTGGCCAAGAAGATGAAGCAGGCCATCGGCACGCTGAACCTGCATGAGCACGATGATGTTTCCAGGGAAACGTTTGCCAGCGACACCAACGAGGCCTTGGAGTCACTGGAGGAGCCTGCAGAGGGAGAGGAGGAAGAGGAGGGGAGGGAGGAAGCTGCTGTAGGGACTGAGGAGACAGCAGTGGTGTACAGCTCTGCAGACCTAGAGGTGTTCTGAGGGTGGACTTTATCATGAGCACATAGAACTAAGACTAATAGAAAACACTGCATTTTTGGAGATTCAAACTGACTTTGGTGTTTGTTTGTTGGCAATAAAAATCTTTTTTTCTAAACTCCCTTTTCTCTGTTGTGCATTGATGACGATTATTAGATTAATTTATATACATTCTACCTGAACATTTACTATAGGTCCTAATTTTGAAGTTGTCAGAACAAGATTTGATTCCATGAAATAACTTCTATATGGACAGATGTGTAATGTAGTACTGAGGAGGCGTCCACTAGGTGGCAGGCATGCTACTTACTAAGCTATGGCATTTGAAGTCATTTTTTCACATCAACAAACTTCATTGTGATGTATGTCTTTATGTGCTTATTTAAACCAATACATTGCATAAAGCAAAGGAGACATTGAAACATTGTGTTTTTAATATATAATCTTTCCATGAATACAATCCTATGATGAGCATTGTGCATCTTTATCATCTTTTTAAAGTCCAACACTATTAGATATCAATTAGTTAATCTATGCCACACTTTTCAGATTCTAGTGAAAAAAACTTGGTTGTGTTTTTTTTCATGCATAGTTAAATTTCATGTTTGTTCCACAACAAACAAAGTTCTTACCAAGTTCAAGTGGTTTGATTAGTTTTGATCTGCATGTGGCTAAAAAGAAAAAAAAACAAGCTAATTTATACAACAAAAAAGGTAAAGAGGTTGTGTTTCACTGTCTAGTCCTCTGATCCTTCACAGTGGTTTATCACATTTGTCGCCCTTTGAGCAGAAATGAGCTGTTTAATAGAAGTGATCAAAGCATGGATTATCAAAGAACTTTGCACTGCTGGAGGTGAGTGATATTCCGCCTCATCCTATTCACACCGTCTATGGTCTCAGGGCCTCTCTGTCTGTCACCTGGCAACGAGCTTGTTGCCTGGATACGACACGCCATTTAAAAAAAAAAAAAAAGACATATCCCTTGGATAAAGCAAAAACCCCTGGCATATTTGTAACCAGTTCATAACACTGAAATTACTCACTACTAAACGTTTCGCACATCATCAGCTCCTTTCTGTCTCAATAACAGCAGAAGTTAGTTGGTCTACAAATCTCAGAGACAAAAAGAGGCATTTCCAACACAAATCATTTATATATTCTCATCTTCTTAAACTGTTATTCTCTGCCTTTAACATCTGCCCCCTTAGCTACATCATTTGGCTGAAAGAACAGCACTATAGGTGAGTTAGATAACATCAGGACAGCACTATTGAGAAGAGGCAGTGACTCATCTCTTTCTGTGAAACAAAGGTGACCCAGTTGGGAGTGGTAAAGAGACAACATTCATAAAGTATGCCAGCTCTGGTGAGAGTATTATATTAATTCCTCCTATGGTTGCTTTAAAGTAACCCTCTACATTTTATTACCAAGGACCTTGATATTGGTTCTTTTAATGTGCAGAAAAACGTTTATTTCCATTCATTTATTTGGTGAATAAAAACTTCCCAAAATCCTCACTAAATCACAAATAATTGAATTTAATTAAGCAGCTTTAACAAATTCCTGGCTGCAGGCTAAACTGTTGAATCACTACTGTCCCTCTGAAAACATGGGTGGTTCTAGAGAGGGGCCAGCAGGGGCCAGCGCCCCTGTAGAACTGGTTCCGGCCCCTGTACCGAAGACATGATAAAGATAGAATTACAATACATAAATTATGATATGCACAAGAACAAAAATGACAAGTGATAAGTTGATTATTTTTTTTTACATTTTATTTTATGTACAATTCAAAAATTAGGTTGCTGCATTTTTAGCTTTGGTCATACTGAGATAAACTGCCAAAACAATCTAGAAATAGGCTGGTGAAGATTCTCAGTCATCCGTGTTATAGTCATTCCAATAAAGTAAAGAAACAGACCACTGGAATTAGCTTTCTAAGTTTGAAGACGTTTCGCTTCCCATCCAGGAAGCTTTTTCAATTCAAAATGTCCCAGTTCCCAGCTTTATAGAGTAACTCAGTAAAGCCTTGTTATGGCTGAGAAAACGTACAAATTGAACCGGATGAACAGCGGTGTGAAGGAAGCAATTTATGTTAAGAGAGAAAAACCAACCCTAAAACGAGGGGGTGGACTCAGGTTTCAGTTCTCAAAAAGCTACAATACAGCGATAGAGTTGATTTCTTCCCGCTATCATTATCCTCATCGCCATGCAGGGGACCAAGACATCTCGCCTGGTCAGCCAGGCCAACAATGACCCTAACAACCCCCCTTTTCAGAGGCATAGGCCGGTATTGGGTATTGCAGGCTAGCAAAGCCTTCAATGACTCCCCATTACTAAGGGGCCGACCCGTTCTGCCGGTTCTTCATGTTTTCTGAGCTCTAACAAGGCTTTGTTGGGCTACTACTAATACTATTTCTGACATTTTGAATTGAAAAAGCTTCCTGGATCGGAAGGGAAACGTCTTCAAACTTGGGGAAAAAGTCCAGTGGACTGTTTCTTTAAACTTCTTTGGAAAATCTATAAATAAGCAAAGATTTATTCAGTTAAGTGTATTTACTGAGTCTATTTACTAAGCAAAATGTATTTACCCATAATTTGTTTTTTAAATAATATAAATTGCCAATTGATTGAGTATTTGTACTCTTATAATGAGATAATTAGATAATATATGCACTTGAAATAAGACAATGCAATTGATTTTTTCTTGTTTTATTTGTAAATTGTCTTGTTCCATTGGCAAAGGATCCCACTTACCTTCTTAATTCAAGAACTGCACTAATTTTGAGAAAAAAATACTTATTTAGATTTACATTTTTTCTAGTGTAGAATATGTTTTTTTTTATTTTTTTGCTAGATAGGAAGATTAAAGAGCTGCAAATGGTTCTTTGGTTCATTTAATATATCAAGCAATGACCTTTTGCACCGTTTTCTGTTTTATTCTTTTTTTTTTGGTGCCCAGATAAAAAATAGCTACAAAAAAACGGGTCCCTTGGTAATATGCTGATGCTTACAACATTGGAAACCAAGTCCAGTGGATTTTTTCAAAACTTTTAAGGAATTCCCTTGGTAACTTAGGTCTAGAACTGTCTTACAACATGAAATCTGCCTACATTTCCTGCTCAACACCTAAGGCTAAGGAAGGAAATTTTAGAAGTCTGATCTTTCTATTTCCAAACCATTTTGGATTATTGTGCTACAGAAACTCTTTAAATGACCACTAAAAATCAGAAGAGAGAACAACCAGGATAATTTTAACTCTTAATCATGTCTTCTTTTTGTTACCTAAGAGTATGTGAGTGGGTCTGAAGCTCCTGTTTCTAAATAAAGCTCCAAAAAACCAATCATTTCCACACAATTTCCTTTTCTTTTGATGCACCGCCTTTTTCCCCAGCGTTTCCTTTCAGTAACGATCGTCATGCCTCAACGTGGGTGACCTTTTTAGTTTTGGTTGACTAGCCAACTATGCCAGCAGTATTCATGCTTCTATTCCTGCAAGCTACCATCCGTATATGATACCATTATCGTTGATTATACAGGCAAAGTAGGTCATTTCTGCTGTGACGTTAGGAAACCTTAATTAGAATATCACTGGTAAGAAGCCTCATCTTCTGTCATTTGATTATGAAACCTTAACCCATAATGACTGTGTTTCAAATACAAATCATTCATCGGGTGACAAATGAAGACATTTCTCAGTTCCTCATTTTTTTCTCTTTGGATTAAGAGAAAAATTTTCTATTTTAAAGGCGCTGATGGATTAAAAACAACTACTAATGCAAACGCAAGAAGAAAATCTACAGTTGGAATATTTTATCTATAAAAAACATCTGATGCAGCTGATCATTAATAACTTTATAGATCATCAATCATGGGTTTTGGCTGAGAACACTGGGTTGAGAATAATCACCTCACTGGAACGGGGACATGAACCCTGGACTCACTAAAACTAACGAAAACAGAACCTAAAGACATCAAACAGGGAACAAACAATGATCTGGCCTCGATAGCTGGGCTGAGCCGAATATAAAGAAACGGATGCAGGGTTAGATGAGTGATAATTAGAGACCGAGCAGCAATTAAGGCCAGCTATCAGGGCAGATCATGACCCCTGTATTGAAGTCATACACTGTGATTCAAATGAAACATTGTTCAATCATTCTTAAAATAAATGCATTTTCCTTGATTTAAGCAGGTGGACGAAACAATTTGCATATGGAATAGATGATTTACCTTTAAAATACCAAAAACAAAAACTCGATTTCTTTATTTGAACTGTGAAATATCAAATTTTCTTATTTCAATGGCAAAAATATGAATTACTCTGACATATCATCCTATTAACCGCTCAAATTAAGTGTAAATACATTTATTTTTCTTAATTTTCACTTTTTTTTTTTTTTAGTTCTGTTTTTGTAGTGTAATACTAAATCAATTTCTTATGATTTTATCCTCTGACCACTGTAAAGAGACTATATCTGATTTGTTGCTTGGAACCAATTTAATAATTCACCTTTACAATTTTGTGAACTATTATTTAGAGATTACAGTCAGTTTTTATCTTCAGCTTTATTGAAATAAGATCGGTTTTAATCTTTTAGATCATAGGTCTGAAAACCTGGATTTGTGACTCTCCTAACATACTAAACAATGACACTTTCCCTGTTTTTGTGTGCGTTTGTCATTCCTTTGATCTGTGACCTTATGACAAGACGATGGCCCAACCCTGGCCCCCCTGGTAAATTTGGTCAAGAACCGTCACTGTCATTTCGTTTGATTTCTTAATTATTCATGATTTTGGGTTCAGACAAAAACTTTCCATTCAGTAAAAGACTAACAGTGTATAAGCACCACCCTTTCAATACATTTCCTCACAGTTTTAGTGTTCAGTTCTAATTAAAAAAATGAAAAATGAAAAATATTCTATACCAAACATTTACTTGACATTGAAATGTCTCTACAAAATGGAGTACCATTTCATAATCATCTCACAATTATCGAGAGCCCACATTCTTGCAGCAACTGACACGCATGCAAATACTTTCTCGTGAGAGATGAGGCTCTTGAACTTAAAGGTGCGGGACATGCCAGTTAAAAAGATTCCCTCGTCAAGCATTTACAC